TTAAAGCGAGCGGGCCGCCCGCGCCCGGCGCGCCCCCCGCCGCGCGACGTCGTGGGTCGGCAAGACGACAAAATCGGGACTCGCCAGGCCGCCGTAATGATGATACAATTCCATTCCACCGGAATTGCCATTCATCGCTGACGAGCGACGCGTAAAGACGATCGTAAAGACGCGCGTGGACGATCGAAAATCACGATGAACATTCCTCGTTGGAAAGGAGCTCGATAAAACGATCGACCATACGTAAGAAAGAATAATGGAGATATGAAAGAGTAAGCGAGAAAGAGAGAGAGAGAGAGAGAGAGGGAGATGGATGGAGTTTGCAAGAGGGACGCGTAGAGTAACGTTTTAACGAGCCGTGATTTTCGTGCTCGCCTTTTCGAGATCCTTACGTAACGCGACTTAATTGCGAAGGAGCTATCGCGCCGGTTAATACGAGCGTAGAGGAGACGAGAGACATTCGAGGGGATGCTTGGCGGCTTTAAACGCGAAGTAGCGGGCCCGACAGGCCGCGGGGGAGCGAGGCGGGCGACGTAGGCAGCGAAGAAGTGGGAGAGTCGTGGGATTGTGGACGAAACGTTGCAAGGGGTGAAGAGAGTAACGCTGAGCCAGCCGAGAGGGGAGAACGTGATCCCCCTCCATCGGTCTATCCGTCAGTCGCTCCGTAGCCGCTGCAGGGAGAGGTTCGTCTGCGTCGCTTTCATTCGCGCGCTTTAACGCCCGTCAGGATTTCTCGTGAGAACTTGTCGTAAGTGACACATCGATCGTTACCGCGATCCTCGAGCGTGTTTACTCCGCATTTTCGCGGTGATATTCAATCTCCATCGCGGTTATACGCTCGCGCGCGCGCGCGCGCGATCCTTACGTTCGCGCTCGGGTAAACAACGGAGTGGTGTGCAGTGTGCCAGCGCGTGTGACGCGGGTATCAGTGTTGCTCGCGGCGCTCGACGACGCCGCCACCGCCTTCCGAGAAGAGAGCGGAGACGAAGAGGCGGGAGTGAAGTAATAGTATAGATCGAAAAATAAACGTGTGCCGTCGGGGCAAGTGAGGAAATTTTTCGGGCCAGTGTTTCTCCGAAAAACGACGACGTAGGTGACGACGTAGGTAGTTTACTCCTTCCTTACCGACCGAAAAAAAAATAAAAATAAAAGAAAAAGGTTAAGTCGCATCCGTCGCATTTGTAGAGCACAAAGAAAAGACGCGGACACGGCCGTCGCCGAGGAGATCGAGTTGTCCTCGAGTCCTCGCTCGCCTCGTCCCGTCGGCTTGTGCGCGCGCTGTGCATGACTCCGAATGAACGCGACGACCAGCCTCACCTGACCCGGCGAGCCGCGAGAGGGAAGGAGAGAGGCCGCTACCGACCACTGCCCGCGCGAGTGTAAAGGGGAGGAGGAGGGTGTGTGTAACACGTTTAAGCGACCGGTCTCCCCCGCGCTCCCGATGAGACGGTAGTGACGGATGGATTGGTGGCGACCGCCGATGGATTTTCGGCGGGGAAACGGGGTGTTGCGAATCACGCTCGCGTACGCGTTGCACTGGAACGTAGCACGTCGTTGCGAGGCGATACGTCATCGCCGCCGAGAGTGTCGATCGTCATCCTCGTAGCGGTTCGAGTTATTTAATTTCACGCGTCTCCCATAATACCGGCCTTTCTTCCCCTCCTCTATCCTGTTCGAAAACGTCATTTACTCCTGTTAACGGTTGTTGCTGTTGTGCCGTTTGTTGTTGTTATTGTTCTTCCCCGACGGGGGAGCAACTCAGTCGGAATAAGTGTGCCGCGTGTGACATGACGCATCTCAAGAAGTGAAGAAGTTCCTGGAGTTTCGCGTCTCGCCGGAGTCAGGGCGCGAGATACATCGTAGAAATATTGCCACGCATCGAGCGGGAAACCACGCAGGAAGGATGTATCCCAGCGCCGGAATCAACGCAGCCGCCGTGGCCGCCGCCGCTGCCAGGCATCCGGTGAGTAGTGATTATCAATAACATAACATAATAATAACGATAACAGCGCTAACATTGTTTATTTGTATCCCCTCCCGAATCCCGTCGATATAGGCGATGGTATTTTCGGCGGGGGGGGGGGGATAAACTGCGTAAACCGCAATTGTGTAACCATTAAATAGCTATCGGATTTAATCGATGTAAATTCTCAGGCCGAATAAATTAGGCTGAATGCGGCGTTTCGGGATGCGCTTCCCCGCCGGGATGCGGCCGATAACGGTGTCGACGACACGAGACGGTGATATATTTCGCGGTTGCGAACTAGCGATCGTATCTCTGCTCGTCGCTTCCATTTGCCGGGGTCGGATAGTTAGACGTCGAAAGATCGCGCGCGACGTCGATAGAGTATTTTAACTTCTCTCGCTCGCTCCGCGAAATGGCCGCGCTCTCCGGTCGTCGGGCTTCTTTTTTTCTCTCTCCAAGACTCGCCGCGGTGCCTTCCGTCTATTTTACAGCACGTTGCATACTTAACGTAGCGCCGCGCCGCGTCGCGACGTGACGCGCCGGCGCGGACCGGCGCGGCGCGATCGCGTCCCGCGCGCGACCGTTCGGTTTACTTACATCGTTGTTAACCCTGTTTAACCTGCTCCTCCTTGATCGCGGCCCGTGTTTCTGACGCGCCACTTTCCCTCCCCTCTCGTTTTCTCTCTCTCTCTCTCTCTCTCTCTCTCACTCTCGCTTTCTCCTCTTTGCCGCGAAAGAGTAATCACACCGCAGGGTGATTTCTTTCCTGTCAGAATGCTTAAGCTGTCGCGCTCGATTGCACTCCCGTTACTCCGACTGCAGCGCGTTTCGCACCTCTCGTAACACGATCCGATGTCATCGACGAATCCAGACGACTTCTCGAGTTTCACCGCGTACACGCGCGAATGCGTGATCTCGATTGACGCTGCGACACGACGTCGACGCATTCCACGTTCCGTTCACATATCGGGTTTCGGTCGCTCGCGAAAATTTTCATTAACGCGTCGGGGAAATCGTTGTGCATCGATCGTTGTGTGTATCGAAAATCACCATCACTAGGTTTCGAGGTGACACGACCACGTGGCATGTGATGCACGTGATGTGATGTACGTTGCGAGATACTCAAGTTTGTAAAAGGTGACTACGATGTATGTGTAGTTGTTTAATTTTCTGTGCAAAAATAGCATACTATACTGTACATGTTTAAATATGTAAATCCGTATTTGTATGCAGTATATATATTATATTTAATAGCCTTTTCGATTCTCGCAGAGTTTGGATCGATTCAAGGTCGATTAACTCGAAATCCCATAAACTCGTTAAATCAGATATTTACTGGAAGTGCCATAAACAACTCGTCAAATCAGAAATTTACAGTAGCGTGTGACTTTATTAACACATTCTCGATAGCATGCGGGCCACTGTTAAGCTAGTCACACACACTTTCCGTAACAATAACCGTAAATACAGCAAACATAAAAATCGAGTAACAATAAACGCAAAAATCGAGCAACGCGATTCGAAAACCTTACTGTTACTGTTAGCGAAAGTGTGTGTGACTAGCTTTGAAGTCATGACAATACAAAAAAAAACTTAAGTGCTAAAATGTAAACAAATCTATAAACAAATGTAAAAAGCAGTAAACAAATCCAACGTTTCCTTAATTTCGTCTTACTGTTGAAATTTTTTGCGTGCATTTAGCTTTATTCAGAATTGCGACAAAATTGAAATTAGGCAAAAGTTAATAGGCAAGAAAAATTGAAAACGGTCAGGGAAAAGATATAGAACGTTAGTACTATGGAGAAATTTATGACAATGTTTGACAATTTGTTATTCTATTCTACTGGATTACCATCAATCAAGTATTTTCTACGCAAAGATAATGTTACTCTGTAATTTGAAGGCTTTGTTCCAAAATTTACAGTAGCTGAAAGTCTACAGTGCTCGTAATGTAATGTAAACCATAGCTTTTCAACGCTAACAATGAACCAAAGTATGCTACCTACAATGCACGTTAAATATGTCTTTAGGATTTATGACCTGTCAATGTGAATCCCGTAATTATACCATGACCGACACAGTGATCACGTCATCCACAAGAAAGAATTAGTCCTCTTTCTCCGAAAATGTGTCCGTTATGAACCATGTTAATCGATCTCGAATTGATTCAAATCCACTGCAGTTGAAACCGCTAAATTTATATACCGATAAATTTAATTTATTAAATATATAACGCGTCACGTGGACGTGCACGTGTTTCTCCACCGCGCTCCGAAAATTCGGCGGTAGGAACGCGGAATCGCATTCGCCGTCGTATAGACTTCTCGCGACCGTGCGAAAAGCGTTTCGCCACAGCATTTCGTCGTTGATCCGTGAACCGAGCAGAGTGCGAGCAGAGTTGTCCGTGCAGCGGTGTCTGTATTTAATGGTCCGGTCGAGATAATGGCGACTTAGTCGTCGCGCACGACTCGTCGTCCACCGCGACTCTCCAGCCCCTCGGAGTCGTCGTTGCGTAGTCCCGTCACGTTCACGCCGTTTCTCGGTTTTCTTTCCCGCTCGACAGTATATAACGTTCCTCCGACCATTACACAGGATATTAACGCCTTTTCTTTCGGTTTCGCCGCGACGCAACTCTCTCGTTAAAAAAACGCGGAGCACCCGGCGCGCAATAAATGCCGTGGACAAACAATTTTTTCGCTACTCGCTAATCCAGTCAGTTAGTCGAACGTGACTCAGAAAAAGATATATATTGTATGCATTTACTGGTTATTGCGAGTGACAATCGCTGTGACGCGCGAGCCAACAGTCAAACGTCACTTTGTGTCGGTGTCGTTAGCCTGAGAAAAGGGGCTTAACGACCAGTGTAATGAGATAATATTTCCCCAGGAAAAGCCTCGACTCTAATAATAATACTAATAATGGGCGGTGTATTAGTGTGGTCAGATATATACATATATATATATAGTAGAAATTTGCCTAAAAGGATCGGGCTTTTGTTGTATGTAGATTGTTAATAGATTTGAAATACATCCACAGAATACACATTGAAAATTTTTCTTGGTTTAAATTTATTTATTGTTTTTGAATTTCCTCATCAAAAGTTAAGTTTTAATTCATGTCGATTTTATGCTCTTATTTAGCGATATATTTGATTCGCTCAGCATCTGATTTCGGTTCTTTCTGTCGAATATTATTAGGTGTTGGAATTAATTCGTAGCGTTTTACAAGTGATGGGAAGTACTTTCATTAATGTATTTTTTAATGCTCATGTGAAATAAATAACATTCTTTCATTAAAAACGCTACGAATTAATTCCAACACCTAATACAATTTATATATGTTTTCTTAAAAAATGGCAAAACTCATAAAATTATTATAAATTTGCCAGAAAAGGAGAAATATTTTTCAACTTGACGAAAAAGTATCGACTAATCAACTAAAATCAGCGAAAAATTCTTGATATAATCTTTTTTGTCATTTTGATTTTGTAATCTTTAACCTTTAAGAATAGTCACAGCACTTCACGTATGGTTATTTGAAAAATTTTATTAAAAGAAAATAAAAAATATTGTTCAGAAATCTTAAAATTCATTATTTTTACATTCTTCTGTTTCATAAGAATATAAATTAATGTAAATTTAATTCCATATTATGAAATATTATTAAAAAATATAACTAAAAATAAAATTTTCTTGAGATGTTTTTCTGTTTTTCCTTTCTGTTTTTTTTTTGAGATGAACATTTTACCTATCTACTACTTAAAAAGACTACTTAAGAAACCATTCTCTTTTTGATAATTTGACGATTTTCTTATTAAGTTAAGTTGTAATTTATTTGAAATGATTGATAGGGTAATGTTCACTTAATTGATAATTATAATCTGAAAATTCCGTTTTTTTAATTGTGTCACTTTTGAAATAAGGGAACGATGTATTAAACTCACGTATTTGTGTTCAATTCTGAACCTTATAAGCCCTTTCCATATTTAACAGCATTTTTCTTCATATTGGGAGTATCCATCCCTAAAATAGTTTTCACGTATACTACACGTATACCCTATGTAGTCGAACATCATGGGACTGGTGAGTAGGGACGAAGGGAAGAGAGCGGTGATCCGTAACTCCACGGGAAAGGCTGGATAGACGGACGGTGCGAAGTGCTGACGTTAGTTAGCAGGGTACACGTTGCGAACGTCAACTGACAGACGGGCGTCGTTACGTATACACCCGTACACACGCGCGTATTAGAGAGACCGGACCTCGCCGCCGGGTTTACTACCTCCTGTAAACTGCACGGCGCACCGTTTGCGCAGGACCCCCAATTCGGTAAATATTGATACTTTTAATCGGTCTGTTTGCACCGACACGCTGTTCAAACGCGTCCGAATGTGCACAGCTGAAAAAACGCAACCGGTCGCGAGTTCCTTCCCTTTGTCTTCGTCATCTTCATTTTTTAATTCCTCCTCGTGTCGAGACGCGACACGTCGAGACCTCTTTATTAGCAATATGTTAATCTCTGATTGCGCAAGATCGTTTGATACAAGAGATTGCGCGTAGGACGGGAAGCATCCAGAGAAAGGTTTCTTCAATTTAAAGAAGTGTTTCTTTGTTACTCGGTTAAAGAAAAAATTTCTTTCTAATTTGAACATCATTTCTTTGACATTTCTTAAACATTATTTATTTGATTTAAAGAAATTATATTCAAATCGAAGAAATTTTTTCTTTAACCATGTAACAAAGAAAGAAACATTTTTTTGAATTGTTGAAACTTTTATCTGTGTTTCACTCGTATGAAGTTAGAGCCTGTAACTTAAAAAAAATTAACTTTCTATAGCTCAATTTATTGCTCATCGTATGCATATTTCGAATTCTCGTCAAAGCGTTATTAAAAAACCAATTTTAGGAGTCTATTATAATTTCATACTAATCTCCCAACTACTCAAATTAGGTCGAAAAGTCTTAGGCCCACTTTTTTAATTATCTAACTTGCGATTAACT